TAAATCTCCCCTTTGTATTGTGCTCAAAGGCCTTTGTCAGAAAGTCTGTGCTCTGCTCTGCCTTTAGACCACCACTCATGGAGGAAAAGCTATAAAAACCAAGGAAAACGTCTACTTATTTTTAAAACAAATAGAATTTCTTTTTGCTTCTTAGTAGTGTTGGAAAATATTTTAATGACTAAAATAATAAAACTTCATGTGAGGCAAAGTCTACCTTAATTACTGCCTCTTGGGGTGGAAAATTAAGGAAACATTAGTAAATGTGTTAACTAGAGAAACCACTGCAGTAATTTCCCTCCATATATCTGGGTCTAAAGTCAAAATAAAATCCATGCTACACATATCATTTGAAAGAAAGCAAACTTGTAGTGTTAGCTCTTACCATAGCTCTTACTCAGGACTGAAATTAATAGACCACAAAAGTCCCTGTGACTATCAGTAGAATGTGATGAACTTACCCTGTATTTCAGTTTAGGAATCTGTAGTGAGGGATGTTGATATGATTGCTTAATCTGTTTTAATATTTCAAACACTCTAAATTACCCCATTACCATCTTAATACTTAATACTTGAAAGTGAATAAGTATATTGAAAACTCATTTTAAAGCACAATGTCTTTGAATAAACATGTTGAAATAGTGTTTCTCACTTTTGCTTAAAGCTTTGGTGTGTGACTGATGACATCTTATAGATTTTCTTCTTTTTTACTATCCCCCCCTCCAACCCAGGACCTTTTCTCCGTATGTGGCTATCTGATAGATAGTGTTCATTCGCAGTCTTCTAGGGGCCTGAGCAACACGTGGGGCACGCCTGCCAGTAACCATTGTTGCTGTGTTGTTCCAGAGTCCCCATCCCTGCGGAGCAAGAAGTCTCAGTAAAATATCCTTGAGGGTCACAAGGAATCTTTGCAATTTATAAATATTTTCATAGTCTCCATAGACTGTTCAGCTTTCAGTTAAAATGTTGTTTTTTGTCATTAAAGTTTGCTTTTCTATTTTTTCTGTGAATTTCATACCATGTATTAGAGTGCATTTTGAGATGTAAAAATCTCTAGCTAGACTAATGAAGGTAGCATCGACCATGGTCTCCAGTTCAGAATGTTAAATCAGACAAGCAAGGTTTCAGAATACGTCTCTTTACTGCATTCTCTTGCACTCCTGCTTCGTCGCTCATCCTCCTGATTTCCCTCGTGTCTCATTTGGTCCCTGCACCCAAGTATATAGGACAGTCTTGCTCTAGTTGCTTATGCCGGACACCTGCCTTCTAGCTGTGTTTGGCAGGCCAGAAGGATGAGGTAATAATCAGAAGAAAATGTTCTGGTTCTTTGGCCTGATCCACGCACAACATTATTCAAAACAGTTTTCTGTGAGTGAGAACAGGGTTACTTTGAGATCCCTTGGTCTAATACTCTGTAGGAGTGTGGAGGAGCAAAGCTGTAAAGTTTTTTTATCCCTTCTAGAATAATGGAAATATAAATCGTATCTGCCTTTGCCGATCCTTTCAGTGATGTTCACAGACAGATGGATGTAGAGAGGAGAACTTTTCATTTGTAAACATTTTGGCTTTACTTTCCCCGAGTTCAGCCGACTTCTCGAGCACAGCTCCAAGGTCCTTACAGCATTGTTTTCCTAAAAGCATATTTTTTGAGCTATTTCTCCAGGATGATGGCAGTTTTTGTAAGACAGATGCCTAAAAGACATATGGTTTTCATAGATTTTTTCCGTCTAGACTAGCTTTATTTAGTGACTTTTGGTCTGAATTGGTCTAGTTAAAGTTTCTGTAGGAGCTTGTATAAAAATTTAAAATGTGGGCATACCATTAAGGTGTAAAACAAAAAGTTTGACTTCTTATTGGCAAGAGATTAAAAGGGATTGGTTGAAAATTTCCTTCAGGTTAAGCAATTCTGATCATCCCTTATGCCCACTCGTCCGTTCCACTCCCATAACACTGTCCAAAATGGAAAGGCTTACCCTCAAAATCCGATAACTGCTAAATTCATATACTTCTCACTGTTCTCCTGCGTGAATTCTTTGTGCTCCAGTGGATGAGTGTGTGTGTTAGAAAGCTCTAATTCTTTCTGCAGACTCCTTACATGGCCCAGGGGACATACGATTCCTTGCCCTTTTAGCACCAATTTTTACAAACACAGCATTTCCCTTATTTTAAAAAAGCGCCCAAGAAGCCACTGAGTAAAGGAGATGGAACATTCTGCAGTTTTTGTAATGCTTTCAACCACCGATGAAAATTCCGTTTTAAAATGCGGTTTTTGAGCCAGTGTCAAAGACTCGTTTAGAAACAGTGTGACAGTTGAAGAGGAAAAGAATTACTTCTGGACCTGCCCAGAAATCGGCCTTTTGCTCCCTCCTTGGTGAGCTCAGGCCGCAGATCCAGTCTCAGATGAACAGCATCGGAGCGAGGAGCCTCGTGGACGCAGAAAACGTGGGCTGTGCTGTCTCCGCAGGGTCATCCCTTGGCCTCGCACCCAGCTTTTAATTGGACTTAGTCGCATATTTGTTCACTGACATGGCAGCTTGCAAGGCACACTGGCTCTCTGTTTTTCTGTTTGCTTTAAACTTTTTTGTTTTTAAACTTTGAGCTCTAAGGCATGTTAGAGCTCCTCCTGCTGGAATTTTTCATCTTTTTTTTTTAATCACTGGGATTGTAATTAGTAAACGGTAACTCTGTCTCCGTTTTGCACTTGGACTGACGGAAGTGACAGGGAAAATATCACATGGTGCATTTAAAACCGGCCTTTTAATTCACCAGGTGTCACAGTCAGGCAGAAATGAAACATTGGCGCAACGTAAATCTTTCCTAAGTCTTCCAATTCCTCTGCTCTGTTTTTTCTGTTACAAAAATAAAAGAAATTGGAAAGTGAGCTTTTCCATCAGTATTTCTATTTACATATTTACCCTCTCTGAGCTGAGGCCCCAGGTCAGATACTCGTGCCTGGAAGTTTCTTGCTCTATCAGAAAGGGGCAGAAGTCTTTTTCCAGCTTTCCAAAGCAGAAATGAATGTTAGACTTCTGTACAGAGATTCAAAGTGTTGCCTTTTCCCTCCCCATCCTTGCTTCTTTTTCTTCTTCTCCCTGCTTTGAGATGACAAAGGAATGTGTATCTCAAAGTGGAAGTTTGCCTCGCCCAGTAGCTTGTTCTTAGCACCTCCTTCCCAGCCTCTCCTCCTTCCCCCAAATGGTGAAGTTGGCCAACCCCTTCCCCTGGTGCCTGGGGTGGGAGTGAGGGGGAAGGGCAGGGAAGAGGACAGAAGATGATGAAGAGGGTTAGAAATAGTTTTACCCCAGCTACCATCAGTGGGACTAGGTTTCTACAGCATGTAAGTTCTCTGAGATCTCTTTGGGGATTTCTCAAAGGAGAGAAAAAGAGATGGGGGGAGGGAAGAAAGGAAAGGAGGAAGGATGGAAGGAAGGAGGGAGGGATGGAGGGAAAGAGGGAAGGAAGGGAGTGGAGAGGGAAGGGAAAAAAAATAATCAAACAGGACACTGCCTAACCTCATTCAATAGCCATGTGCATGTAAATCGGTTTAAAAACCACATCCTTTCTCTCGGTAGTTTTCTCAACACTGTATTCCTCTTACCTTCTGCTTCTCAGCATATCTTTTAGTCTTTTCCTCTGCCCAGCTTATGTGTTGTCAGTGATATAATGGAGAGGTTAAAATATAAAAAATTAATCTCAAAAGTAATGCTTTTTAAGAACCATGTTTTAATCCAACTAAAGACCCTCTAAATTGTCTGTTCTATCAATTAGGACTTGGAGCAAAACAAGTCGTTCTGACACTTGTGATAAAGAATAAGACAACGCTTGATTTCTCAAACTGACAGTACTTTTCTAACTTCCCTTCCCTTACACATACGCTCTCCTATTCTGGGAATGCTAGTCCCCTCAACTTTCCCTGTTTTCTGGAAGTCCTTCCGACCTCCCAACCTCCTTCCAACTCCAGGCTCAGACCCCGTGTCCCTGAAGCTCCTGAAGCAGAATCCCGTCGTAGCACGTATCCCACTGTTGTCATTGTCTACTTTCTCTCCCCATCTCAACTGGAAACTCCTGGGCAGTGACTGGCTTTGTTTCTGTACCTCTAACTCTTCATACAGCGCCTAGCACAAAGACATGGTGTGTTGAGGGGATGGGAGAAGACACAATGACTTGACGTGCAATATTTAATCAAAATATATTTTGAAATTAGCCCAATATTTAGTGTATTTTAAGAAACAACTTAAACACAAATGCTTTCTCTCTCGTCCTATTCTGTTGAAAACCTTGCCTGGATGAATGCTATTGTAAAATTCTTTTTACAAGTCATAAACTGAGCAGTTGCTGTGGGCAAATCGTTCTTTAAGCTGCCTTTTTGCTGCAACCACAGAAGTGAGTATATTGTACCATCTCTAAGGGTGAAATCCGAGTCAGATATTTAAGACAATGTAAAGAAAGTGTGGCAAGGCAGATTATATCACCATTTATCTCAGAGACTAATTTATACAGCATATTATATGTTTGTATCATCAACTAAGAATTATGGACTGTTTTTCTCCTTATATTCTCATTTCAAATTCCATGAATTGATTCATAGTTTTCCAATGACATATGTTATAAAATCATGGGTTCATTTTCACAGGGGAAAGAAATACTGGCTCTAACATGTAGCAAGAATCATATTAGAGAATTCCTTAAACCTTTTAAATGAATTCCAAGTCCTGTGTTCTTTCCAACATCTACAGCAAACTATTCTTGGACAGTCTGTTACTAAGGCTGAAAAGGCCAAAAATATGCTGGATAGCATCCTATAGTATTTTTGATAATAAATTACAAAATATTATCTTCCACGTGAACAAAATCATGACTGTTATAGCATATTCCTGAACTTAGCTTTATGCCTTCTAGATATATAAACACTGTTTTTTGAATAAATGTTCGAAATAAGAAGCAATGCACGAATACAGTGCTGAAATGTAAAATACTATGTCCCATAATCTGTTCTCTCATAGCAGACGTTCTCAAGAGGAAGTCCTGGGTCATAGTTAGTTGCCTTTCCATTTCACCTAGAGCTGCACTCCTGTCTGATTCCTTGCTTGGATCCGTTCGCTGGTTCATGTTCGTTAAACTACCGGTTGGGACACTGCCCTCTGCAGGTGCTGTAGCAGGCTGTCAACAGGATGAGGAGTAATCTCAGCTCACGGGAAGTTTATAATGTTGTTCAGATGATAAACTATGTACACATGCCTCAAACTTTGTAAATGATGCAAGGATTAAGTAACTCAAGAGGATCGTGAAGAAGTAAGGCATTTCAGTTCCCGGAAGGGAGATTCTGTGGGCACCCGCCAACCCAGCTGGCTGAGGCCTCCACAGCCATTTTGCCTGGAGCCGCTCTGGAGAGGAGCTCAGCAGAGCCCACTGTGGGAGGCGCTCTTCATGATTTTAGAAAACTCACAAGCAGTTTCTGGTTTTTGTCCTCTTTTGTTTAGTCTTCTGAGAAATTCGCCAGATGTAGCCAAAAAAAAGAGAGGTGCCTTGCTTCTTGTGGTCTGTAGACAAAACCCTTCATTGTTTTTTTGACCTATCTCATCAATAAGATAAAAAAGTTGGGCAAGTTGATGTCAGATTCTAGTGGCTCCTAGAAACCTGAGATGCATAATGCTCCCATGATCCCAAATGTAATTGTACGTAAATTGAATTTTGAGACAGTTATATTTTAAAGCTTCAATTATATTTAATAAGTAGAACTTGTGGTATAAAAGAAATATATTGCACATCCTTTTTTGATGCAAATAACTACCGTCTAAGACAGATATCGCTCCTCTAGAAGTATGAATCTGTGTATATCTTTCTTTGAAGGTTTTCGTTTTTTAAAAAATTTGGGTCCACTTAGCTAATTAGGCTGGACTTCAGTCACACTTTCTCCAAAGATGAGAGTTTGGAATGGACATTTAGAGAGGCTTACTTTCTCTTACCTACTACCATTTTCATAAACAAATACAAGCTTCCCCAAGCAAGTAGTTACTCTTCTGGTGATGACTAACAAGAAAACTGCCATAGGATAGTATCTTGGTCTTTACGAAATAAACCTAAAACTGATTTGACCCATATGTAAGTCTAATTCACAAAGGTATCAAAATATTCCTACAACCATTTCTTCATCTTTCTTAAGATTTTTTCCAACACTTTCTCTTTTTTGCTCATACTTTGTCTGGCAGGTGAATTGAATTGTTGACAAAGCAAGGTCAAAATAATTTATTATGCCTTAGAACAGTGGCTTTCAAAGCACAGTCCCAGCAACAACATCATCTGGGAACTTGCTAGCAATGTCTCACCTCATTAGAAACTCTGTATGGGACCCAGCAAGTTGTTTTAACAAACTCTCCAGGGAATTTTGATGCACAGTCCAATTTGAGAACTGTTGCCTTAGAACATGCCAGTGTAACTGCCCAATAGAAAGAACCTTGGACAGGGAATCAGGAGATCTTGGTTTAAGCACAGGAAAGGAAAGACACTAAGCTACATAGACCCAGTCTGACTCACACATTAACCAGTCAGATCTTTCCCACTTCCCATCCTGAGGAGGAATAAGGGCAGGGGCAGAAAGACCCAACCATTTCAGTCATCAATATTATGCTACCAGGAAGCAAGAAGCTAAAGGTGATTTCCACCCTCACCCCCCACCCCACCGCTGATGTACCAATGCAGTTTGCCCTAGTGAACTCTCCCCCAATCCCTGTCAAGATTGGCCTCACGGCATGAGTCCTGAGAATCAGCTAACCCAAAGAAGAGCAGATGAAATTTAGTTCTTCCATTCTTAGAAGACAATCAAACGAGATACTAAGACAAATAATGCATTCTTCTCTCTTATCGGTGAAGCCAGTTTCTCCCCTCACAATGCCACCCACCCTGTGTGAGGATTTGACTTTCTTAGAAAATTTGTCATTGTCCAAAATACTGTAAACGGTCCATCCCTGCAGCTACAAATGCAACTTCAAGTCTTACATCCTTCCCTTTGATTTGAAAGCAGAAACATGGCACTTCTATCGTAACCATAAACCGCCCACGCACAACACAGTGTTTCAATAAACACTAAGTGATGCAAGATGCTCCATTTCAGTATAATGGATTACTTAATGAAACCCATCACTAAACAAAGCAACTGAGGAAAATTTGGTACAAAACAAATAACTTCGCTTTGCCCAAAACAAACTGTCTTATGAGCTGAATGTCTTTGGAAACTCTTTGAATGGTTAGGAACTGGACCAATGAAATTAACCTCAACAGTAAACCTTAAATGTTTTTTGGTGTTTAAGTTGGCAAACACCTTAGCATTACTCATTAAGAAAATTCTCAATGAACTACTTAATACTCCTCTTGAATTGCTTTCTAATAGAGTTTTATATACAGATTATTGGGGGGTTATTATTTTAGAAATAAAATGATGCTGGTTTCTTCCAGAAGGTTTGAGGGACTCTTTAGGAAATTACTAAATACATTTACGGGTTACTTTAACCTGAAACTGGGCATATTTTAAAGATGTCATAATTGTTTTGAGAGAACATGATGGAAATTTTATCTTTCATTCTTTCTGTCATTAACTCACCACACAGGTTTGCAGTGCCTGTTAGTGTAAGGCCTTAGGGCTTCCCTTAAAGAGTCCACAGTGGATGGTTTTCCTGATTTATTTACTTGAGAAAAAAAATGCTATGATCCAAAGACCATCCTAAGTTATTTGATACGGTGGTGAATCAGACAAACAAAAGGTTTGGCACATAGCAGAAAGCTGTATTCTCGTCTCCTGCTTTGCCTTCTTCCTGCAGTTGCCCACTGCTCTTGTCCGGCTCTTGTCCCATCAGTGTGGTGCAAGAATTGGAGGAGGAGATTACTGAGAGTTGCTGCGCCGTCAGAGTATTTAAATCTTCCTATTCTCTGTCTTCCCTTCAATCCTCACCACTTAATTTTTAGTTTCTTTAACCTCATTATAGACCTACATTTTCTGATGACTTTCAAGTTTTATATGCTGCAGTTAAAATCATATTTGCCCCTGCATTGACCACGTTATAGTATTTTCAAGCTCCCAGAATATATTCTCAGAGTCTGAATTACAAAATTTTGCCCTATTTTTTCCACTTAAAGTGGGATGCTATAGTAAAACTACTTGCAGATTTGTCTTATCCCACTTATCCTCCACTGTGAATAGATTCTGAGTTCTTAAAAATCCTGTAGCATAATGCACTCTACATAGTAGATATGCAGTAAACATGCGTGCAGTGTATGACTGGAAGGCACGTTCCAGATCCTCGAGTCTGTCTCCTGCATCGTGGATGAGGAAGCTGAGGCTTAGAGAACTTTAGTTGGTTAATGATTGTACAGATTGGCAGATGGAGCTAGAATCCACATCTTTTGGCTTCTGATCCAGGACTCTTTCTGTGTAAACTTGTTGCCTCAAGTATAAGCCTCTGACCAAGGCCTCAAAGTGTTGCGTGCCTGGCCTTGGTGGACCTGCTCACCTTGACCTGGTCTGTACTCTAACCTGGCTAAACATCTCTGTTTAGGCACTTTTCAGTCATTCACTTGTCCATTATTTAATAAATATTTATTCACTGCCTTCTAATCACATTATACTAAATGCTGCATACACGTAATAGATACAGAAGATGTGGTCTCTGCTCTCAAGAAATTTGCCATCTACTCGGGGAGACAGGCAATAATCTAGTAAATAAATACATAATTACAAACAGGGTTAAGTGCTATGAAGAACACAAACATCATGAATGATGGGGGCATGGTTAGAAACTATAGGATAGTCAGGAAGGGCAGAGGGATGACATTTAAGCCAAGAACAAAAGAATCAAAAGAGAATTCAGTTTGCATTCCTTTCTCTCTTGGCTACAGTCCGTGGTCAAAGCTGTCCCACACACATGAGACAATTCCCAACCCACCACACCACGCTGTGTCCTGCCTTTCACTGTGTTTGTGGTTTAAGTTCTACTTTTTTCAAATAAAATCCCTTAATTAAACTTATCCCATTATTGAAACTTCTGGTGGAGATTCCCTCCTTCAAGCTCAAATTCTGGCCAACTGTCACTCCCCTGTAACTGCTTAATTGCTAAGAATACATTTCTATAGATTGTGTGACTATTTGTCAAACTCTCTGAGGACAGGGGACCTATTATTTACTATTCCAAACATCTACTGAAGAACGGAGCAGTCAAATACTCTGTAGGTAGAGTTTCCAAAGGTCTAAATCCTATACGTCAGTGTAGCTTATTTTTTTGGCAAAAGCAGTGATTTACTAACGAATGCCTTTGTATAATGTAAAGATCAGTGGATATCATGAGCATTCATTAGTTGTTCCTCACTTGTAGGAGTAACTTTCATTTATTCAGTTGTCAAACATTCAGTGGCTGAATGACAAACACTGAGCCAGACACGCAGGAATACGAAGATGAGTAAGACAGCCCATTTCTAATCAGTGGAGAGAAACATATAACCCTAATTAGGATTCAATGTGATGATTATTAATAGAAATATATTGAGATGCTATAAAAGCAACTGTATCAAGATCGGGGTCAAGATGGGGGAAAGTGGGTCAGAGAAAACTTCACTGAGGTGAGTCTTGAAGAATGAATAGCAGTTCCAGCAGATGAACAAAAGGACATTGAGAACGTAACTGCATGTAACACCATGCCGAACACTGTGTGAAACAAGTTAAGTGGATGTGACCTCTGGCCTCTAGAACCTTCGTGTCAAAGGAGAAAATGATGCAGGTTCAAGATTCAGGACAGAAGTTAAATAAATACGGTCATTTTAAATGAAAATGAGGAATATGCTAGTGAAAGGGCGTGTGTTTTTGCCTGGTCGTAAGTAAAAAGGAAATTATGGGAGGATTTTTCCCAAAAGGGAATTCCAAAACATTTCAGGTGGTCACAGTAGCCAGTAGCCTTTATGCAGGAAGAGGACTTATTTGTTTACTCAAATTAAAAAGCTAGTATTGATTGGTTTAGTTGTGTTACTGGGCCTATAAAGTATCTCTAATTTTGCTTTCAAAAATGGAGTGTCTGCTTCAAATGAGACCAGTGTAAGAGGTTAAGTTGGAATGCCCCTTCCCAAGGAAACTTTTCCTCTGAAGCCTCTGCAACATTTTTCGGGTACAGGAAGCAAAAGGAACTCTATTAATGTCTAGGCGTTTTTGCCTAAGTGGTCAGTATTTTAACCATTAATCAACAATATATCTTTTGCTTTGATTTTTTCCTTGACTGTCTAATTTTATTTTATAGCTTTGTGATTTTTTCAACACAATTTCATAATCGTTTCCTTTAACTTTTCTAACTTCACTTCTTCATACCTGAGAAAGGACATTTGATTTGATCCATTTAGTGTTCAGCACAGAAGAAAATTCCATGCCATCACTATAATTCCAGAAGGGGTCTTGCTGAAAAAAATCAAGGGAAAGTTTTATCAAGAAGAAAGGTTTCAATGTGTAGAATTTGTTGAGTTTTGTTAGTTATAAAAATCACTCCCCACCATTCTAACATATGAAGGCAAGTACGCACACAAAAAGCTTATTAATCCCTTTAGGAAATAAATGTCAAGGTTCAGGGAATAGAGAGCATTGCTTGGGAAAGTTGAGATACTTGGGTACAGGGATATTTCATTCTCTGGACTTTGTTTATTCAGGAACCTCTGCTCTCAGAAACACCATTACTATCAGAAAGTGAGCAAGGCTACTACTACTAAGGAAACTTTTAGGACCCAAAATAGGAACTAGAGCTCACGCAGTTCACTTACTCTGAGCCTGTTTACACTTATGGTAGAGAACTCTCAAAACCTGGATTTTCTGATTTTAACTTTTAAGTTTTAACAAAGGCAATGAGAAGTGATAACGTGACAGGGAGAAAAAGAGGAAGAATATTTCATAAAGAGAAATAAAAATTCGAACAGAAACCCATCTGTTTTTGAGGCCTAATACACCTTATTACATCACGTGTCACCTAACGACAGGGATACGTTCATTAGGCAATTTTGTTGTTGTGCGAACATCACAGAGTGTACTTACACAAACCTACACGGTGTACCCTACTACACACCTAGGCTACATGGCCTAACCTTACGGGACCACCATCATCTATGCAGCCTGTTGTTGTTACGTGGTACGTGACTGTAGTTTCTGAAGCGAAGGTAACAGTGCAGTTTACTCTATGTAATCCTACTGTACTGGCAGAAATGTGCAGTGTGTTGTAGGTGGCTTTTAAATGATTTAATATTTTTATTAGTATTGGGAGGGATGGCTTCAGTTTTGAGAAAAATTTGCCTAGGAAAAAATACCTCATTTTTGTTAAAAAATGCTGAGTGAATAAAAGGTGACATTGTTAAAATCATTACAGATGGCACCCACCCCTGCTGGCCTGTCTGTGCATGAGCATGTGTGTCATACGATGGCTCTTTCTCAGTCTTTGGGACAGCCTTCTGTTAGATATTCTACTTGTTTCTTTACCTTTCTCTTTCTCTCTTTCTAGCCGGAGACCACCCCCATCACCAACTCGTCCCACTATAATCCGTCCACTTGAATCCTCCCTGTTAGACTAAACGAAGTATCTGGCATGGCAATTAATTACTAATGAATTATGCGAAAGCAAAATATTTGATAACCCTTGCAGTAAGTCATGAGTAGTCGCATGTGTGGACATCAGTAGGCAAGTAACCAGTTTTACTAATGCGTTCATCACTCATCCTCATTGCTCACGGATGTCAGACCTCTGGAGTTTGACTCTTGAAAACTGCTGACCCTTCAAGGCTTTGTATGTTGTATTGACCAAGGTAGGTTTGTATAGCAGCCCTCCACTTTGGGGACCATTTGCCTACCCTGGCATATATTTGCAATTGCTTTGGACAAGTTTCCCAGTTTACCTACCAAATGTAATTCTTAAGCGATCTGAGATGGTGGGCTTAGACCTAAACCATACCTATTTATTTTCCCACATTCTGTTTTGGCTGACAGAAATTATGTGTATTGCTAATGTTTCCACCTACTCCATAATTACCTATTTAGAGCCTCTTTCCTTCTTCTTTATTTCATAAGACTGCTAGGAAGTGATTTTTAAAATTAGGATTCCTTAAGAATAAAACTTTTCCAGAAGCACAAGGTAGTTTGCGAAGGAAAAGTGAATGCATTGCTTGCTCTAAAGAGCTTCTCATGCCCATGTGTTTTGCTTCATGCTAGAAGCACGTTCAACAGCGAATCAAAGCTTGTTTTTTGGTAGTCAGTCAAAAGATTTGGCTAGTTAGTTTAGAGTTCAAGGAAGAAGCAAAATAGCACATCTCTAGAAGTGTCTGGAAAAAGGTAATTCCTTTATTCACTTCTGTACTCAGTTCCTCATAGGTTACAGTGAACGCTGACGTGGAAAATGTTTCATTTTTCATATTGACCTAATTTTAGGCATGGCTAACTACACTTTGAAACTAACTCTACTTTATTTTTTTATTTATTTGGTTGGTTGGTTGGAGCAAAAATATTTCTCTCTTTCCATGCTAAAGTGTACTTCCTTTATGTAAGAAATTTTCCTACCTTTAAAACAGTTTTAATGTAACTTTCTATCCATTCTAGGCTTTCTGAATAAATCTTGAGCCTTACTGTAGGATAATCATATTTAAAGAATTGAACCTGGAATGGAAGGAAAAGTCATTTAGTGAGAGATGCCATGGTTTAAGAGCAGAGCTCACTTTTTCACGGTTATACCACTTCAGAGTTTCTATCCAGGTCATTCCAGAAAATGGCATTAAGACACTTAGATCTAAAGCAAATTGGCGATTTCTACCATTTCTGAATTTTGCAAAAGCCATTTAGCCTGGAGGTTAATAGTTCAGTCTTGAGGCTGAGTTTTGGACTACCTAGGACCTAGGATTAGCATGTAGGAAACAGCCCGAAGCCAACAGGAATTTTGTCTGTTAACTGCGCCCAGACAGCAAACCAAGCATTCACTGAACAGTGGCGTCCCACGACACTATTTCATATTCTACGGAAGTCAATCAGGTTTCACCAACTGAAATGTCTCTCTTTGAAAGCAGCAAACATGATTTGTATGTTAACTTAACTTTAATTTCCTGTGTAGTTTATACCCAAAGCACACACTCATAAAGTATGAAGTAAAAACTTGTAACCATTATTAAAAAGAGAACTTGCCAAGTTGAATGGCATTGTATTGAACTTAGTCTAACAGGTTACAGCTAACTCACTTATAATAGGCAAAAATCAGAGAATTTAAGATTTATGAAAAGGGCATTTCAACTTTTAAGTTACAAGTGAGTGTATAAAGAACGTCACGTCCCCTCAGTCTTCTCATATGTTATTTTTTCTCATTGGAAAAAAAATTAACTTTTTGTGAATGGAACAGATGTGCAAGATACACACTGGCTTTAAAAATAATGTCACAGCTAAATGGAAATATGTTAAATAAACATCCATAGTATAATAAATAATCTATAGTGAGATCTTTTCACAAAATTCCCTCTTTTTAAGATTCCCTTTGCTTCTTCCTTTGAGTTCTCTACAATAGGCAGCTAAAGGATTATATACTTCAGGGTTTGGCTTCGTGCTAAATGTGGTTTTGCGTTTTGCTGTATTTCAAAAATTTCCTTCTGTTAAAGGAAAATATTGTGGATAACCACTGGTGTATTCTCAGATCAGCACAAATCATGTCAAAGAAAATTGGAGATTTTTTCCAAGTTTCTTTCCACTGATCTTATGCAGTCATAAACAATGGCATTTGTCATCCTTGGCTTTTGCTCTCAGATTATAATCCCAGTGTCACTGTCCCAGTTGTCTCTGTTTGTGGGTCCATTTTTGTCCTCTTTTACTTTTAAGTTATTTCTAATAGAAGCCAGCCTGGAATTTCAGCAGTCATGTTGGAGAATATTTTCAGTTTCTGCAGTACTATGTCAAAGGATTGGTATTAATCCCATTTCCCAAAGAGTTTGCATTTTACTGAAACGAGATGTCTATGTGAATGAAGTCGGAAGCTCTAGGATGTGTGTAGTTTGAAGTGCAGTGTTTATATCAGGGCTTAAGATGGGAATGTTGCTTAATGAGCTTTCCAAGTATTTCCCATGCCACTTCTAATCTTCCATGTGACTTCCTCCTAACTGATTGCTCTGATGTTGTCTACACAATAGATGTAGCTCCATCCTGTCTAGTATAATAAAATAAAACATACAGTGTTTTTAGGATTTGGAAAAATAAACTGTATATGTTTATTTGATAGGTAAATCTATTTTATTGTCACATGCTATATCTTGCATGCTTATTGACTAATTGGAATAACCATTCACTCAATTGTGGACAGATGATTGAAATAGTATTGATTTAGAACAGATATATTGCATTTCCTGAAATCGACTCCCAAGATTACTCTTCTGAATATTGCTTTTAGCTGTGCTTTGTAACATAAAAGAGCAGTAGGGTCTGTTGATTAGCAAATTGCCTACTAATTCAGATACAAACTCATTCTATTCCCAAACATTATAAGGAAACCAGTACCTGTGACATAACTATAAGCCTTCTGAACTTAGAATTAAAAAGTAGTCATATAGATTAATTTTATGACTTTTTAGTATAGACTGTAGCCATAATTCTCAAATATGAAATGGGACCTAATACCAGTATGTGATAAATGTTGATGTTTTCTGTGTACAAACCCATTTTCTATGCATGTGTCTATATGTATACAGTATATACATAGTAAATTTGTTTCTGTAAGTATCTGTACTTTGTGTCCTTTTGGGTAGGTGGACTTAAGAGCACTTGTTCCAATGCTGCAAGCATGAGTGTGATTGTATGTGCATTGTACATAGATGTTACGTATGGGTGTAAATATGTATACATGTGCTTTGTATGTGTGAGTATAAATATATTTTTTAAACTGTGCGAATACAAGAGGTAGCTTTGAAGGATCTGCCATAGGACGTGATAACAGTGGTTCATTTCTGATAACGTACATGAGGTATGCAAAAATGTCTCCACATTGTGTTCATGCTGAGAGGCACAAAGCTCAGAATTACCATGACGACACGCTAGAGAACATCCACAAGCATTTCTATCTGAATCCACAGCAGTGCTTTCAAAGAAGAAATTACCTTGGCTAATACAGTTTGATAAGAAGAGTAAGATCTGGAAACCAACCTTTAAGATCTCTGATTAGAATTATAAATTATCCTTGAATTGCTGAGCTGAGTCTTGAAAAGCTAAGTCGGTATACATAGTCATTTTTTCTCTATGGTAAATGTCAAAAAATCAAGTAGAGGTTTACAGCAGTGTAATAAAAGTAGTGTATATTTCTGAGTAAATTTGCTGAAAATGCAGGGGAGAAGTCAGCTAATATCTCAGAGGTAGGTTGTCCATCCACTTTTTCAGGTAAACATTCCTCATTTGGCACACAATGTGATTATTTGAAATTGACAGGAATCTCCTTGACATTGAGCATAAAGCCTAAATACTAAGTCTCTGAACTGTGGAACTCAATGAAAGAAGACAATACGTGAGACGCGAGCCATGAGTTTTGCATCATTTCACAAGAGGACTGCTAGCTGTGAGCTCCGAGTTAGAATAAAGCTAGATGATTTCAGAGAAACAATTATTAGTGGACTAGATCACTCAATCCCTTCCTAAAAGTTCCAATGTGTCTTCTAGATAATCTTAAGTCATCCTGTCTAAATGGTATGTTTAAAATCATGTGGTGCTCTGTATTGTGAACTTTAAGAATATTTTGAAGCATATGTAGTACTTGCACTGCTATTTGTATATATGTGCAAGAATGTATGAATGTGCGAGAGCAAGAGAGGAAACTCAAGGGAAAGTCTCCTGTTTGTCTTCAGACCTGTTCATACCAGTATGTTGGTGAGGCGTCTCACCTTTCTGGTCTGGGGTTTCACACATGGCTCAGCTCAAGGCATTTGTTTCTTTTGAATTTTTACCCTCAAAATCGTTAAACTTTGCTGATTATATAATGGTTTCAAAATGATGATAAAAATTACTCTATCTAACCTCTTGTATTGTCTGCTACCAATTTGACAAAAAATTTTTCCTCCCAAGCAGAAATTCCACCATGACTTGATTTGAGTTTAATGTCATACGTACGGCCTTCGTTTTGCTTGCTTGTCTCCATTTCTTGTCTCTCTCTTTTCTGAATCCAATTCCTCTTTTGCTTTTTTAAGAAGAAGCAGTGTACAGAAGCAAAATCTTGTCTTCTCTGTTGATTCTTTAATTAATTTGAGCCAGAATGCTTTTCACTGTCTTCTTAGCACTTTCAGGATTTCTTAATGCTGATACATGGATGGACTCTGTGAATGGAATTTTTGAAGCAAGTTCTTAAAGCCTGTATCATTCTTGAAGGTCACATGTACCTATCGTGAAAATGTGAAGCTGTATTTCTGAACCTGAAATAAATGATCACATTTGAAGGACTTCCCCCTTCCTCATTCTTGCATATGTTTGAGTTATGTCCATGCACATCAGTAAGATCTGAGACTTCTCAATATTTATAACTCTTTTGATCAAATTGGCCCACAATTACCAATGTGGAAAATGATAGCATTTGTCATTACTGTCATTAATTTGGGGAAGGACAAGATTTTTAAAGGAAGGAAATTGGACAAATCAAAGGCAGGAGAGTGGGAGACATTTTTTGCCTGATCTGAAGTCACTGTGGTTACAAGATTAAAGGACACAAACCTTACACACCTGGAAGATACAATATGACACTTTCCAAGAGGTACTGTGGTATTTTGCTATTGAAAAAGGAGCGTTCGTGAAATACCCTCGGAAGTAGAAGGAGGAAGAATACTCTGCCCAAATGTTAGGTCCACAGAAGGCATTTCTGCAGAAAATAATTCAGCTCCTGGTTCAACAGTAGGCCTCCATTTTTAACTCACTGGGCATTGAGGGGAGAAGTTACCTCTTTCAGTTTCTCTAATATTAAGAGAATGGAAGAGTGTTCGCTATTACTAGTTACATACATCCTTGTCCTAACTGAGTTTCCAGAGAACAGAGAAAGACTCTTCGTTACATGAGTTTTGTTGATAGGCCCCTTATCAACATACACAGTCCAAGATTGTGCCATCCAAATCAGAAAACAATAAAGGAATGGGAGGAGAGAAATGTTGGCTTATTTTCCCTCTGTGTTCAAGATACACTCATTGTGAAAAGATGAATTAGAAGGCTGTTGTGTTAATTCACACTTTCTTGTTGCAATTTCTTTCCTATATCTATACATCTTCCATGAGTGGAGCCATCAGTGCCTTCAAAAGAACCTTCTTACTGGAAGAGAGAGTCAGGATGACAACCATGCTGTATAGTTGTGTTGTGTTGTGTGTGTGTGTTTTACTGCATGATGCTATATTCAGAATAGTTTCTAATGGAAATTACCAAAACCAAAGGACTTCATTGTAACTACTTGGCAAATTTCCATTTATATTTTTTAAATGGTTCTGGCATCAGTGTAAATATCTGCTCAATTAGTTTTCAAGACTCCTGTTTTTCTGCTGGAATCTTTAAATTTCATACTGAGAGATGTATCTGGTGTTTGGGTTAGATGGATCTCGTACCCTATTTCCTAGTACTTCAACATACACCAGGCATTGCCACTTCTAGGACCATTTATTGGTGTTCTTTCACACTATGGCAGGCTAATAATTGGAATACACGCAAGAGATATTGGCTAAAACCACAAGCTTAATTCAGAGTTTCCCAAAGTCTATTCTATGAGATTTTAATGCTTGACACACATGTACACCAAGAATTTCTTGATTAAATATACTTGGGAAATGATGACTAAAAATTAGATGTTTCTTTACTGGAAAAATTTACAGAGGCTTTACTACAGATTGCACTAACCCCCTAAGAGAGGGTTAGTGTCTACGTGTGCCTCAGACTTATTGGACCGTCAATGCTTTGTTCATAGAGCATCTCACAGGACTAGTGCTCTGAGGGACATGCCTTAGGAAACACAACTTCGGTGGCTTCAGGCCAAAGGGAAAGGCACTGAGTAAGATTATCCTAGGACAGACTGTCACAAACACAAAGTTGGCTGAGAAAATCAACTGTAAGAGCAACCAGAGCTCCCAGCTTAGGACTGTCGTCCTGGAGCTCTAGTGCTTTGTCGTTGTAATACCTGAGACCCCAGGGGAAGGTCACATAGGGACAGGAGGCGCGAAGGCAGATTAGAGACACACATGCCATGAGTCTTAGTAAGCCTTGTGGAGGACTCAGTTTTCAATATTACCTTTCCTCTCTCACTCTCCAAGAAAGAGCTCCTCTAAATTAATTACATTACCCCCATTGTATTCCTGCAAAGGAAGGGATCCAGGTTGATTTAAAATTAAAGATCATCAGAGACAATTGAGAAGAATGCCTATTATTATTGCCTTTTTTTGTTGCACTTCCCAAGCCTCTAGGCTCACCCACTGCTCTGGGATGTTACCTAAATGATGGGCAGAGAAAGCAAGCAGAGAATGCTTTGTGAGATTGCGACAGAAAAGAAACAAGTTAAAAGGAGGACCTTCCCAGGGATCTTGCACAGGAATGTCACCATAGGAACAGATTGCAGCATTGAGGTAGATCTGAGAGAATGTGGGTAATTCAACATTCTTCTTCATAATTGAGTCTTTTACATATGAATTATGCCCATTTTCCATACACAGCTTTCCGTGCTTCCGTACCTTCCTGTTTTGGGCAAACAATTCTATGAGGTTATTTTTCAGAAAGCTTAAGAAGGTATAACCTGAATTATAATCTTGATTAGGTAGATTTGCTTGTATGGTGAATACTAGTATGATGAGCTTTAAAATTTGTTAGCAACTCAGTGTTCCAAGTCAATGTTCCAAATCAGTGCTCCAGCTTTCATATCAGAGGCAGCAACAGTATGAGGTACCTTTGTAGCTCTTCGTATAAAAAGCCCAAATATTTTCAGCACCTGCCTTCAAACACTTCAGCATCGGTAAATAATATAGAAAATTCTGGAAAAGAAATAGTAAAAACCCAAACTGCCAAGATGCACGATAGAACTAACTCTGAGCCACTGTATGGTGCCATCATCAACAATGCTTTTTTGGCAATGAGAGGGAAGTTAGATAACAGGATAAGTGAAGAGGAAAAGAAAGGAGCTGTCCGAGGGGATAAATGTCACTCTGATGTTTGAAGCAAACATTGTAGCTCTCCGTGAAATATATTCCAAGACATTAAGTTTCTGATCCTGTTTCTGGAGTAGAACACCAGACTCACTCAAACAGGAAAGTGCTTTGGCATATGCTAACAGAATGTCCCTTCAGCACTGTGGACTTGCTGTTCAGTTTAATGGCTCACCTCCCCACCCTGCTGAGGTAATTAAAGTGTTCCAAAGCCCCTTCAGAATTCAAAAATAGTTTCTGTTTGCTGGGCAGGTGATAAATCTCATTGAGGCTGACAGGAATTTAATTACACTTTCTTCATGAAAACACCAGGGATACCCATTACCTGGATCCCTAAAACTGAAGGCTTGCAGACCCCCCGCAGTTGAAAGGTTACGTACCAATAACAAGTTCTTCATCATTTAAATGGATGGGAGGCCTCCTGAGTGTAGCCAGCTTAAATTGGACCAAAGAAAAATTGGTCTTGGACCTTGGGGCACGTAAGATCGTTTGTCACCGCTGCTCAGAAATAGCTCGGTCAGTTTGGCTCCATTAACATCTCATAGAAGATGAACAAGAAGTTTGTTTTCGTTTTTGTTTTTTTGTAGACTTCATTGCTCCACTCACTGAAGTGTTACGAGAGTAAGATGGAAGTGAGTATGTCATTGAACACCTGGATGAGTGGCTAAAAAATAGTCCCACAGAGAGTAGGGTACCGAGCTAACCTCACAGTCCCATGGCTTGCTGTAATGTTGAGTTCATTACCAGTCCAGTTAGAAAGAGGAAATTAAAGTGTCGACTTCTGTTGGAAACCCAGTGGGAAAGCTTCATTTGGCCTGCTGTTTTCCTACTAACAGAGCTGCTCGTTGCAATGGAGAGTTTACTGTATCTTCTCTAACAGTAAGTCATCCAGAGAGGCCGAGGTCAAAAGGAAGCACAACTCTGGACCCTTATTTCACAACCCATGGGCCTGACAAGATGCAACCCAGGCTAGAGATGTGGGGAAGGATCCAGCAAACCAAATCTTATTTACCCTGGACCCAGTTCAGAATAAATCAGCACTTCAGTTGCACCTAACTCTGAGACAGAGGGAAATCCTACAGAATGCTGGGGCCACCATGGACCAGACCCAGGCTCCGGTTTCCCTGGGCCTAGAAAGGCTATCACATGAGAATATTCACCTGGAGCAAATTCTTATTTACAAATCCTTGTCTCCAAGATCGACACTTAACGTTTTCTGCATTGTAATTGAATTGTTCATTTGATCTCATCACCTTCTAATTTCCTTCATCTTAAAAAAATTTCACCTGTCACGCTTCTGTATCAGCTCTCTCTCCCCCTATGGAGTTTTCACAACATTTATTGAAATCTTTGGAAATTACCCAATGTCACAAAATCAGGGTTAGGAAACAAATACTCAAGTTATAAAGGTATTTGGCTCTAGGGCTGTTGCCAGTTCTCCTGAATATGATTTCATGGATTTATCATTTCATGGTACAAAATAAAAGATTTTGGAGTGGGCGCCAATGGATCATACCTAGCACCCTGCTGGGAGCCGAGGAAAGTCCTGAGAACTGCTGACCTTGCCGTGTGGTATTCCCTCATTTCCCCTGCATGCCTGCACGTCTCTGTGTCTGATTTGAATTTTACTTTTGTGGGATATTTTTGCATGCTCTTATTTGGATTTGTTTTATAATTTACACATTGTTTTCTTCCTTTGCATCTGTGTTTTTCTTTTTGTTATTTTGTTTTGTTTTGTTTTGTTTTCACTAGGCGACCCCCTCCTGCCGTTCCAGGACGACCATCCTAACCCCCATCATTCATCTCCTTTTGTTTCCAACAACATGTCTACCATGGTATTTAAAAGCCTCTCATTTGCACTATATTGTCATATGTACATAAAAGCTTTTATTTTTGATCCATGTCTATAATAAAAACAAAGTTTATTCTATATAAAAAAAATGAAATGTGTTCTGTTTCTTTTTCTAAAGAAGACCCAAATTTATTGAGTTTGCTTCAGCTAAAACCAGGTAAGGTGAAAAATACATAATTTGATCATTTAAGGAGCTTAATTGAAAAAGATTGATTTTAAGTTCTTAAAGCATGGCAATTTAAGATGCTATTTGGTGGAGAATAATAATCCATCTTCAGTTGAAATGTCTGTCCAATAAAAGAGTGAAAAGATGAAGTAAAAATTCTGGGTGTCTAGAAAGGCACAGAAGACTGAATAATTTCAACTTGCCTCCAGGTATCCCATTAATAATTATTATTGTACCAAAACATTTTTTCCTTTTTTTTTTTTTAACATTGGCACCTGAGCTAACAACTGTTGCCAATCATTTTTTTTTCTTCTTTTTCTCTCCAAAGCCCCCCTAGTACATAGTTGAGTATTCTAGTTGTGAGTGCCTCTGGTCATGCTATGTGGGACACCACCTCAGCGTGGCCTGATGAGTGGTGCCATGTCCGCACCCAGGATCTGAACCTGCGAAACTCTGGGCCGCCAAAGCAGAGCGCGTGAACTTAACCACTCAGCCACGGGGCTGGCCCCTTTTTTCCTATTTTTATTATTTTTCTAAACACTCTTGTAGGAGATAAAATGTGTAAGATTATGGAAGAAATTGTAAGTCTTAAATACATAAACCTTACACACTCTATTGGGGAAATGAAGGGAAAAAAATATTATTCAGAATAAAAGTTCAAGGCCACCTTGACAAGAAAGATTCTTAATGATGTCAGGAAAGTACTGGAAGAGTGAGATCTATATGAGTTTGGGGGAAAAGAGAACTTTTTTGTACCTTAATCCTCAAATGGTAATTCCAACATTGAAATCTTAAGCTATCATTTAAAAAAAATCCCAAAGATTTATCCAAATAAAATGTTTATTATTAAGGTGATATAGTATATCCTGCCAAATATGTGCTCTGAAGCCTTCCCAAAGGTTTGAGATCTAATTTAGAATTTTCTTTTTGAAGATTTACATGGTCTAAATTTGAATTTAAATGTAACTCCTCTCAGATGAGATCACTTCTGAATGTACCTTGCTTTAGCATATTAAGACAGAAAACTATAGGACAGGAAAGTAAAAAATTCTTCATCAGGAATTGGTGTCCCATTTCCTTCATGTCTCACCTGGGCAAAGAGAGGCCGCATAGAAGATGTGGGCAGGAAGCCCCAACTCAAAAATGGAGACCACTCACTAACAATGCTCTTTCTTTGGACAATCAAAATCTTTTTTAAGGACTACACTGTCCACTCAAAAATGCAAAACTAGTTTATTTCTCAGGTTAAAAATTTCATTCATTACATTACACACAATTACATCCATTTTTACTTGTATCCCAGGTCATGTGACTGGGCGTTAGAAGCACTGGAAACTAGGAAAATTCAAAGGTGTCAAAGTAGTGGGTCCCCTGAAGCTCAAGTGCACCTGAGGGGACTGAGTCGATGCAAAATAATGCACAGCCTGTGGTCTTTTGCCCTTCCCTTCACCGTCAGTCCAGGCATTTGATTTTTAAATCAATATTCTTATTGGATAGCATTCTCATCCAGTAACATTCTCATCCCCACAGACGCAGCATTCCCAGATTATTTCATACCACCTCCCCAAACAAAAACAGAGGTTGTCAAAAGGAAGGTTTTCACCAGCTGTCTTTTCTAGTTGTTTGGTACTTTTCCAATTTGTCTTAAACATGAACTTATTTTTATATGCAGTGTTACAGTTTACATGTTAAAATCTTACAGTGACCTGATGAACAATGAGAAAGGAAAACTCAAGTCATAGTGGAATGAAATGATTCCCTGGTCTCCTCAACAGAAAAGTGTGGTCCTTTCCTCACATTTGATAGGGGAGAAAAAAGGGGGAAAGTCGGGGGAAGGAAGCAGCCTGGAGTAAAATGAAAGTACGCTAAGGTTTGTTCATAGTGTTTCTGTGTTTCATAGTATACCCCTCCCCAACACTCCCTACCCGCAGGTCCACCCTCCATATCTGATAGAGGGTTGAAAAAGTACAGCGTTCTTCAGAGTTGACCATAACTCAGGATCATCAGGAGGAACAAACTATTACGCCTTTAATAAATATAATATTTCTTAAATATTCTCAACCCTTTATGTGTACATCGAACATTTCTTGAATTTATAATAATGTCCTAGTTCCTGGGAGCTAGATAATAAAAAAAAAGATAAAGGTAGCTTACAAAATAGCTAAAGAAGCAATTACGGTACAGTGCTATGAAAGGAGGAAATTTCGGTCATTTTTCCAGGGAGAACTGTTACCAACTTCAGTGCTGAAGCAGCTGTTTGAGTTCTAGAACCACTTGACCCAACGCAGTGCTAATGTTCTAGAACGTGGTGATTTGACCTCTGACAAAGAAAAGAACCATGGAAGCCATGTCAGCCAATCAGAAACCACACTTTTCATTTCTAATGGAGTAGTCTAATACAAGACGCTGAATCGCATAAGTGTTGGTTGAGAAAAAGACATAGTAGTTTGAAACTGAAGTAGTCTCCAGCTAGAAAAACCCAGGACATCCAAGAGATGGAGAAGAGAGAAATGAAGGTAGGAAAAATAAAACTTCCAACCCCTTCCTTGGGGAGTTTCACTGGTCAGTAAATGTCTGTAAGCCTTGGGGACCACGTGTACTCTGCGGGATGTTTTAACAAACATCCTGGAAGCTGAAGGCCAAAAGGAAGTAAGGAAATAGCCTCTGCTGTTCATTTACAGACAAGGGTCCTCTCAGTGGGTTTGGAGCTCGATATACCTCAGTTCTCTTTATCCCAGAGTTCGACAAAATGTTGTACTTGCCAACATCTGTTTTATAACTCAGCATTAAGTATGATTAAAAAAAACTCAGAAAATTGATATTGGAATCTTTAGTCCAGGTCCATGAGATTCTGAAGTAAACCTTTGCAACCATGAATCCATTTTAAAAACGTGAACCTCACCCACAGAAGGATTGTTGAAAAAGAAAATGCTTCTGTAGCCGTTTACAATACTACAGGGTCTATATCTGAATAACTCAAACAGAGCTCATGGTACTACCCATTTAAATGAGAATGTCCCACTTGAAGGGACATGCCAGCTGCCTCCGCTGCCATAATATACACCTGCTTTTCTTTGGGTTTTTTATACCGCAAGTTACTATTGAATTGCAATACTGTCGACATATGAAGGTGGGATTAGGTGGCAGGCTATTGGATGAGTCAAGATATACACTGCTCTTCCCATACGGTTTTTAATCAAAATAAATTTTACAGTACTTGATGTCAGGTCCCGATTTTCAGCCCCAGTTCACATCCTCAATGAACCTCATGAACAGGAGCCACGAGCGGGTGCCTTAGCAAACCCCAAGGGGCCGAAGAGACTGAACGATCCTCACGGCCGTAGTGAAGTCACTGAAGTGGGTTCTACCTCTCAGACAGAGTACATTTTTGAGGCTCCATATAACACTATCAAAACACTGGTCTTTCAGGCTCCTAAGGGCTCTATTTTTTTTCTCCCAGTTCTCATCTCCGTGGGTAGGTCTCAAAAGGCAATGGAGAGCAAGCTAGAGCCAAGGAGACAGTTCCTTCTGCCACTGCCTTTTTCTCTTTTAAAGACAAAAGCTACATCCACAAAAGCTGCCTGGGGCCTAAAGATCTGCTTATTTTGCAGTTTAAAAGGAGTAGGAGGCCCACTGTGTTCTCACTGACCAGAGTCCAAATGTTCCTTGGGCCCTGCACAAGGCCAAGGGGCCGCCCCGGAGTGGTGAGCACGGAGCCAGCTGGAGCTTGGGAAAGCAGAAGCAGCAGCTCAGAGCCAGCTTTTACAGAGGCCCCAGGGACCACAGTTTCCCTTGACCTCTGCCTTGGTAAAATCAATTTGTTCCATCGTCCCAATCACAGTATGGTCAAGGGATTGTAGGGCCGGTCTGTTTAGGCCACAAGACCTTGAGCTGCTCCTGGGTGTCATTTGAACCCAGGTGCCAATTGGTGCCATATGGTGGCAGAAAAGGCCATTTGCCTTTCCAAGCCCCTTCCTCTGGCACTTTGGCTGCTGCATTACCTGCTGGGCGTGAGGAGGCACCAGCACCATGGTGTTGCCAGGCCCCTGCTGCTGAGCAAACGCTGGGCAGTGGGAAACAGATGCTCTCTAACCAGCCTATCTCTGGGGGATCCTCCCCTTAATCACAGTAATACACCTGCAAAGAAAATGGCATTTTGGTTTGGTTGGTGATTGCTATTGTTTCTCAAGGTAAACAAACCAACATTAATTGCACCTGTGAGTTGCAAAAGAAAAAAGCCAAAAGCATGGGCATGGTCTAAGCCCGCTGGCTCCAACAGGTCTTCAGCTGTTTTCCCTCTGCCGCTCCCCGCAGCTAAGCTCTCCAGAGCCCTCCCAGCTCTCAGAGGAGTATGACATGGGACCTTGGTCAAACCCTGGCTCTCCCCTAAGTTCTGATCACTTTGCCCAGAATCAAACTTTCGAGAACACCACAATTGGCACTGTCCCCTGTTGGAAGTTTGCACAGTTCTCAGGAAGTTTGTCTCATTATCCCCAAAAGGCTCTTGTCAAAATGTGCATTACCCAGAAAATTAGTACATTAATTCCATTAGCAAACTATAGTAAGTTCATGATGACATGAGGAAGCCTGCACACTAACACCACAGCTCCTCCAAGGTAAAGAAGAAGCCCCAGAAGTCCCCCCCTCCCGCCCCACCAGCTCTCACATTCTCACCACCATCTGCCTTGAACCCACTGGGACTTACACTATTAGCCCTTTCTCAGCCTATGTTGGTCATCCAAGAACCCCTAAGCCCTCCACTGCTAGGCTGCCTTCTTCTCTGCTCTCTATCTCCATTCAGGTCTGTACATACCTAGTCTGTGCACCTCTCCTACCCCTCGCCAGCTTCTGAAACCCTTACACTGCACCCTCTGTAATTCACTTCCCATGATCAGCAAAATTCCCTGTATCTTCAACTTATTCTCCTGATGTGTCCCTCACCTACTTTCTCTGACACAACCAGATTCTCCTCTAAGGGCACTGCTTCGCCTGCAGCCTTCGCAAAAGTTGGCAGCTTGTCTCCCGCAGGCCTCATACTGCTGAGCCTGAAGTGGAGTAGGGATCCCTGTTTTTATTTTTGTTTTCAGACCGTTCTTCCTCTCTCCTCCCTAAAACCCTCAGCTTTGAACCGCATGGCATCAGATTATAGCACATACCCCTCATTGTTGTTTTCACCTAACAACCTCCAGTCAATTTTCCATTATTTCTCAATGATTTTAGCTGCTGTTTCACTGTCACTCTCTGCAGTACCACACCTGTCTTAATTCTTGGCGATTTCCACATGTGTGTAGGCAATCCCTCCAACACCACACCCCATCCCGCTTCTCATTTTCTTGACTTCACTCCTCCAATGGTGTTGCCCTGCTCCCTAGCCCAGCCACTCACTCCCAAAGTCATAACCTTGTCTTTATTCTCCGAGCTTCACTTTCCATCTTTCTAACCCCTTGGACCTCCACTTCACTGGCCTTGTCCCTGTCCCTCACCTCCCTGTCCTTCACCCCCTCGAGGTTAACCCTCCTTCTTACCCAACTTAAATGCCAGGGTCAATCATTATAATCATGCCCATGCATATATACCTTTCTCCCTTGTCCTCCTCTCAATTTGATAAAACCACCCCCCTGGGTATGTTCAACTCTCCATCTCCTTTGCTTTGCACCCATGTAGCTGTACATGGTCTGGAAAACAGACACACAAACTAATTGGTTTCACTTTAAATTCATGACCACTACCCTCCAGTGAGCCCTTGATGCTGCTGGGCAATTCTTCTGAGTATCCCTAGTTCATTCACTCTCCCAGCATCTCCCAAAACTACTTCATACCTTCTCTCCTCCCTTCATCAGTTTCTCCCTTAATCGCACTCTCAGCTGACCGTTTGCCTCCTGCTTCCCTGGAAAAATTGAAGCAATCAGAAAAGAACTTCCAAAGATCCCCATCCCTCATCTGCCCGCTTACAATCTGCTCACTTCCCAGCATCTGTATCTATATACCCCGCCTTCCACTTGTTACCATAGTTCAACGTTCCCTGTCTAATGCCAGTCCCTCCACTTGTGCGCTGGATCGCATCTCTTCTCATCTGCTCAAGAATATCACGGCAGCAGTTATTCCCTTTCTCACATCAACTATCACTCTCTGCTGTTTCATTTCCGCCAGTATACAAATGCACTATCGTTTCTTCCAGCTGAAAAAAAAAGTTTCTTGTCCTCACCTCCCCTTTCAGTTTCTGTCCTGCTTCCTGGTTCCCCTTTGAAACAAAACCTACAGAAAGTTGCCTGTACTTGCTGCTCCAATTTCTCTTCTCTTATTCTCTCTTAAACTCACTCCAAATAGATTTTTATTCCCACCACTCCACCAAAAGATTCTTCTTTTTAAGGACACCAGTGACCTCCTGCTTTCTAAATCCAATGGTCAATTCTCAGTCCTTGTCTTATTGACTTATCAGATTTTGATCTGCTCACAGCTGATCACCCCCTCTCCTTTAAGTCATCTGCCTTGGTTTCCAAGGACTCTAAACTCTTGATTTTCCTCCTGCCTCAGTGGTTGTGCTTTCCAAGTCTTTTTGCTTGTTCTTCTTCCAACATTTTAATTTGTAGTTCTTCGTCCTCTTCTCTGTCTAGATCAACTTCCTTGGTGATCTCATCCAGTCTCATAACATTAAATACCATGTATACGCCAAGTCCAAAATTTATATCTCCACCACATACATTGCTCCTAAAATCCAAACTCCTATCTTCAGCTCCCTACTCAACGCTCCAGCCTGTTGTCTATGTCTGTATGTCTACACTCAGCCTATATGTCTATAACACATATCATATCCTACATGCCCCAAGCTGAACTCCTCCCCAAAATCTCCACCCACCTCCCTTACATCTAGTATGTTAGGAAGTCCTTGACTCTACTTTCAAATTATATCCAGAATGTGACTATTTTTACCACTTCTTCTGCTATCACTCTGTTCGAAGCCACAACCAGTTCTTGCTTGGACAACTCTAAGAGCCTCCTAATGCTTTTTCCTGCTTTTACTCCTGCCCCACAGCAGCCAGAATGAACCGTTCAAAACGTATGTCTGATCACGTCCCTCTTTTCCTCCAAGACCTTCCAATGGCTCCCATCTCAGAGTAAAAGCCAAGGTCCCTTCAATGGCCTGTAATGTCGTACATTGCATCCTCTCTCATTCTCTCTCTAGCCTCATCTTCTCTTCTCCTTATTCACCCCACTTCAGCCATCTTTGCTGTTCCCCAAACACGCCAAGCAGTCTTCCGCCAAGGCCTCTGCAGCTGCTCCTCCCTCTGCCTGGAACGCTCTTCCTCTGGGAATCTGGATTATTTGCTCACCTCCTTCAAGTCTTTGGTTAAATGTTACCTTTTCCGTGAGACCTACCCTGACTCGCTTATTTAATACCATTGCTACTTTCTTCTTTTTTTCCATAGCATTTATTGCCGCCTGTCTATTGTCTGTCTCCTCTTGCTACAGTGTAAGCTCTACTAGTTCAAGGACCTTTCCTGTTTTATTCATAGAT